GCCCGGCCCCCCTGCCCACCTTGGCATCAAACACCAGCTCCACGCCGCGCACGCCATCCCCGCGCCCAGTCAGCCGTCGCACGTCTCTCAGGTACTCCAGGGCCAGGCGATCGCGGCCCGTGACGGACTGGGCCACCGCATCGCAGTTGGACAGCACAGACGCCCAGAAATACGGCACACCCTTGGGCGCAGCGCCCGCGCCGCCGCCACCACCGCTGTTCAGAGACTTTGCCTCGGCATCGTCCCAGCCCTCAAGCTCGGCAGGTTCGGGCTGCGCCTTGCCGCTGACCAGGGCGTGGCGGCGCTCGCCCAGCTTGGCCACCTCGGATGCGAGCTGCGTAGGTGGGCAGGGGTGTGTTGGCGGTTCGCGCGAAAGAGGAGTGGACGGTCAACCCTTTGACATCGTTGATGCTAGGATGCCTCATCGTGTGGGGAGTGTTCGTGTCCGCCTTGCATACTCACATCATGGGGCTCACGCCCCCTTGACACAGTGACCGTGAACAGTGCAGCGACAAGTGGCCTAGCGCTTGCCTGCTTTTCCAGCGGTGCGACGGCCTTGACCGCTGCCTCCAAAACCTTTGCAATGTCATCCTGCAGATGCAGTCACGATCGGGACAACGATGAGCCTCGCTTTTGCGAGACAAGAGCTGGTTCGTTGATACATCACGCCCAAGGCTCACGCACCTCCAGCTCCGCGATCTGCTGTAAGACTGACATGGTACTTGATTACTACAAGGCTGCCCGACACCTTGGTGAGATCAGGTGGCGGGCAGCTTCAGCGAACTGAACAAAAGCAGACTGAACGAAGCTGGCTGGGGGCTAAGAAACGTTCACGAGTTTAGTTTAGAGCAGAGTCGTTCGCCGATGTGCGCGCACGTCTGATACCATACGCCACGTGTAAGCTGGAGAGGCATTGGCAGTGCAGAACTCAGGGTTCGGCTGCAGTGACATCAGGTGCCACACACGCACATGAGTCCTGCGACATGTGGGATAAGCGCTTTGACCCAGAACTGCCAGCAGTAGACACAAAAGCTTCTGTTACAGAACGAGGGCTCGGCGACATTGACAAGAGACAAAGCCGATCTATCGAGTGCCGTCACCAAGACCCCCCTCTCTCCCACGCATAGACGTCACCCGCTGGCTGCTGCGCGCCCTCATACGCGGCGTCGATGTCCAGCATGTCGACCTCGTCAAGCTCAAAGGTGAACAGCCGCCGTGTGTCTGCCAGGTGGAGGGCGTTCCGCTGTCCCACCACGGCCGCCGCGACCCCGGGCTGCTGCAGCACCCACCGCATGGCCACCAGGCTGGCGCTCACTCCGCCGTGCTTCCTGCCAACACGCTTCAGCACGGCCAGGGCGTCCTGTGTAGAAGCGTATTGTGCTGGTGGATTGATAAATTGTTCATGGCATGACACGCTGCGGCAGAGCTAGGCGGGTCTTGCACCCTGTGCACAGCATTTCCAGCAGGAGACTGCGTGCAGCCCTGCGTGGGGTGTGCCCCTCACCAACCTGCAGGACTGTCCATCCCCCCAGCTGCTGTATCCAGGTGCCATACTTGGCCTTGCTCACGGTGTCCAGCTTGGCCCTGGGCGTGCAAGATCATAGGGTAATGCCCCTGGCTGTCGTTTGAGGCCTGGTCAGATACCCTCGAGGGTTTAGGGCTAAGCCCTGAAACCTAAGCCCCCAACCACCATGTCAATCGCCTCCCTGTCTTGTGTGCGCGCACTGCGGCAGGTCTTCCGTACCCTCCCCTCCTCGCCGGCCTCACTTGTTGGCGGGGAGCCCCAGGTATCTGTCGCCGATGAAGCCGCCGGCCAGCGTGCCGTACGCCAGCAGCTTCACCCCGTGGCGCTCGCACACGGGCGGCAGGAACAGCCCCGGCCGCCGGTCGAGCACGCTGTAGCTCACCTGCAGGACCCACACAGCGACGACGTTTCAAGAGGGCGGGGCAGGGATGGCGAGGTGTGGGTGGTTGGGTGACCTATGTGCGATGCAGCAGGCGGCACAATACATGGGCTGCTGCAAGCTTTTCCTGGATGGCTGTGGTACCCTGTGAAGAAAAACACTTTGTGACGACACAGCAAGGGGTGGTGCCCTTCGCAACCTGTCTTAACACAATTGTGCACACCTACTCCTGGTGGACCAAGCCCCGGCCATGCCGCAGACCCCACCTGGTTGGTCGCGGGCGTGACGCCGGCATCGATGAGCTCCAGCAGGCGCGGCACGTCCCAATTGCACACTCCCACGGCGCCCACCAGCCCGCGCCGCTGCAGGTCGGCCAAGTGCCGCGCCGCATCTACGTAGCCGCGTGCCCCCCAGTTGTCCCAGTGCAGCTGGACCAGAGGCAACCGCGCCACTCCCAGTCGTGTGCAGGCTGCGCGCACCCGATACCTATGGCGCCCACAGATTCCCGCGCCAAAATGAGGGGTGGGCAGAAGGGCACCTCTCTTTGCAGGTTCAACCCACTGCTAGGCAAAGGCCAGGCAAAGCGAGCTTCACAAGTGGCAGCTCTGCGTTCCCAGGGTTCGTCAGGGCTTGCGCCGCGAGGCTTGGCACTGCTACCCCCCCTCCCAGCGGGGACCTCACTCAATCATCTCTCCGCTGATGGCTCCAGGCCCAGGAGCCCCCATAAAGGTCAACTTCGTGAGCACGGTGCAGCTGTCCGCAACGCGCGGCGACAGGCTGCGGAACTGCCCAATCAACGCCTCAGAAGGACCAAATGCGTCCGACGTGTCAAACGTGGTCACGCCTGAAACACCGCACGCGATGTGTACGAACACAATTGTATAGTGCATGGAAAAGGTTGGGGGAGGTGGGACACACGCGTTCACGTGTGCATACGTGTCCGTTGTCACACAAGCCCCAGGTGAGTCGTGGCGACCACAGTCCACTCGCACTCTGTGCATGCATGCACAGCAGTAAGACCGCATGTAAACAGATGGATGCGCTACAAAGCATCAGTACCCTGGAACGTATAGCCTCCAGAAATAAGAGTCACGTTGCGATTCGCCCCGTCCCACACCCACCAGCGCGCACAAAGCGCTCCATGTCGTCAATGGCTGCACCACCAGCGGTGCGGTCCGTAACCATGTCACCCTTGTGCCGCCCATCAAGCTGCCAGGTGCCCTTGATAACCTGGGGCCGGTTGCGGCGAATGACTTTCAAGCGGTACATGGTAGTCTGCCGTGCCCGCACCGGCTGTGGATTGCGCTGACATTGGTTGACTACGAGCCCCTTCGAAGCGAACCCACCTGGCTGATTTCTAGGCCCGGGGCTATCTCCACTCGCGGGATGGGTGGCAGTGGTCCCTGCGCCGCTGGGCTACTGCCATCCGCAGCCCGCCGTTTGCGCGCCGCATGGGCCGGCGGCGGCACCAGCACGCCGGCTGCTGCAGCACCGCCGCCAACTAGCACAGAGCGTTTGCTGCAGGCCTGTGCCGGGCGCGTGCCAGGCTGCGCGTTGTGCAACATGCACCTAGTTTCGATACTGCGGATCCGCTATATATGGTGATATCGAGAATGATCTGGGCAGTGCTGGAGTTTACCAAAATAGCTAATACTTAATGAGTAGATATGCACGTGTTTCGCGCGTCAAAGCTCTGCAAGCGGCTGCGAGTCCACATCAGCATTGCAGTGCGCACCTGCGCAAAGAAGCTTCGCTGCGGGCCACGATGCCGGATCAAAAAAATAATTTGATTTTATTTACGCTTGTGTAATCAAAAGCAACAGTCGTGACTGTTCAGCCTGCTCACTGGGGCGGTTTCATCTTGTTCAGCCCTCGCGCAGTTGTCCCAGCGCCCTTTCCTCGCCATGGGGTTGAGAACGGAGTCAGAAAGACTCAAGGAGGGCCGCGATAGCTCTACCTTTGGCGCGGCCCCGACCTCTGCCCTCTATGCTGCGCCCGCAGCTCATACCCTCGCATGCACGAGCGCCACGTTGCACTTGCCGCCCGGCACAGACCGCTGCCCTTACCGTTCTGGCCCAAGAGCAGCGGTCGATGTGTGGTGGATCCGTGCTCTGATTCTCCTTGGCAGCGCCTGCGTGCTGGGTGGCGCCATCGCGGCAGGCGTGGCTGACAAGCGGTGAGGTTGCATCCATGGGTCAGCAGGCTCCTAATGATGCTAGCTGCGTCCAGGAAGCCTGGACGCAGCCTGCTGCCATGCACCTGCGTAGACCTGCAAGCCGCGTGCTGACGCCCTGCACGACCTGCCTCCCACGTGCCCGGCTTTCCAACTTTGCCCGGTCCCTCTCCACTTCCACCAGCCTGTACCAGGACCCCAGGTTCATGGATGCCCCAGCGACCTGCGCTCGCCCGGGATTTGCGCCGCGCACCCTGGTCGAGCTGGGTGATGGCGAGGACAAGGACGATGACAAAGAGCACGGCGTGCGCGCAGGCGCCGTTGTGCTGTGGCTCCTGTTATCTCTGCTGCTTCCGCTAGGTTCGCTGCTGAAGAAGGGCATCTGCGGCCAGGGCAATCGCAGTACAAAGTGGTTGCTGTCCTCTATCTACGCGGGCGAACAGACGCCCAGCTACGTAACTCGCATGCTTTGTGGATATCAGGAGTTCATTTCCTTTCCTGCTTTCCAACAAATCACATAGGCCTGGGCATCACGTGGCTCAGGGCTTGGGCGCGCAAGGCCGAGCCCATGATCTGGGCGTCTGCTGGCGTCCACGTTGGCTCTCTGGTGGTTGGCGCAATCATCATGTTTGCTGTGGGCGCTGCCCCAGGTGGTGCGGTGATGCTGGCCCTTGCTCTTCTGGTGGCTTTGTTGTGGTGAGGGGTCGGGGAGGGTAGGGCTTGCTTGGCTGGTGAGGTATCTGGGGTAGCGTTGAGGTCTACTTTGGGGCAAGTGGTGGGTCGCCTGAGCACTGCAGTGTGCAGTGCGGACTGCAATCGGAAATGCCGCAGTACAAAAGTTGAAAATTTACTTTCTCACGGCTCTCACCATCCAACTTACTGCAGGTTCCTGTGCCGCAGCCAGATGCCGCTCTGCGCACGCCTGCTGTCCGTCGCTGCCCACAGCCTGGAGGCCAGCCCAGGCCTGATCGGCCTCAGCCTCAGCCTGTCGGCTGTGATGGGAGTTGTCCTCCTGGGAGCTACAGGCTTTGGACTGGCAGCCTATGCCAACGGCGCGCCTGTTCCAAACCCCCTTCTGCTTTTGGCAGGTCGCCTTGTGACCCCGTCAGATAACGCGACGCTGACAGACCTGCCGCCCATTGGGGAGCGCTATGCGGCTGTCTACCCCGGCCACTGCGAGCTTGACGGCCAGCCCGTGTCTTGCTGTGTGTGGCGCACGTCACCTGCCGGCAATTTCTTCATCGCACTGCTTTCTGTGACGGCGCTGTGGGCGTGGATGGCAATTGGAGCTGCGCGGCAATTCTGCGTGTCGGGTGTTGTCGCACAGTGGTACTACGCTCCTGCCGGCGTTGCCCCGCAGGATGCACTGAGCGCCACTGTGCGCCATGCCCTTGGGCCGCAGTCCGGCACAGTCGCCTTTGCAGGGGCAGTGCTTGCCGCGGTGCAGGCGCTTCGTCAGGCCGCAAACAGCAGCTTGCGCACCGAGGGGCGTGACGGCATCGGCGCGGCAGTTGCAGCCGTCTTGTGCTGCATTGCACGCTGTGCTGCCAACCTGGTGCTGTCAATCGTTGAGTTCCTGTGCCGCTACTCCCTCATCTGGAGCGCCCTTACGGGCCAGTCCCTGGTCGACTCGGGTGGGTTGGTCAGGGGCAAACGTAGACGGGGGTGTTACTCAGGGCGGTACCTCGGATTACTGGAAACCCCCTGAGCGTAGTAGAGACTGCGAGGTGACAGCAACTTATGGTCATCGTGCCGCTGACACCAACAAACTTCAACACACGCGCAACCCAGGCAAAGAGGTGACCGCCCTGCTGCAGCGCAACCTCCTGGACGCCAGCACTGTGTGGTGGATGCCTGGCTGCGTCGTGGGGCTTACCAGCTTCGCAGTCGCGGCGCTGTGGGGCTGCGTCGTCTTTGCCGCGGTCGTCACAATGACGCACGGAAATGATGCACTCCTGGCGGCGGTTGGCATTGCATTCCTCGGTGCCCTGGCCACTGGTGCAGTCCTGCAGCTTCTTGGCCGCCTGCTGCTGGACGCCACTGACACTGTGTTTGTCTGCTGGGCGTGCGATCGTGACGCCAACACCGCAACACGGGCTAACGTGGAGGAGGTGTTTGGTGCAGTTGCCAAGAAGCAGACTGTGCCCCCGGGCGGGGTCGTGTCACAGCCGCACGGCGGGTATGCGTACGGCCAGCAGCACGTGGGGAGCGTTCAGGTGCAGGCGCCTGTTCAGGCGTCAATGTACGCTGCGCGCATCTGATTGTGCCTGGGCTTTCTTTGAAGTACTTTGTGAAATGGCTTTTGCATCTGCGCTAGATGCCCAGTCAAGCCGTTTGCGTGTACAGTCCCATGATGCCTCCTGCCATGTGCAGCACATCACGTATCAGAACATCCACTTTGCCACGTGGCGGCAAGTCATACAGCAAGTCGATCATGCCGTCTGTGCCCCAGCAACACTCGCAAGCCTCAAGTGCTGCCTTGCGACGTATCAGATCATAGCCATGGCCTGCACTTGCCAAAAGCGATGAGGTGTGGGTGCGTTATTACAGCGAGGCCCCTGGGACAGGTTTGCAGGAGGCGGGGAGTTTGCGATGCTGTTTTCATGCCGATAAGCCGCCACCCACACACCTGGGAGCGCGCCCAAAACTCCAGATAAAGGTGCCATGCATACCACCATATGCCTTCACAATCCTGTCAGGGCAGGACATGCATTTACGCCCAAACGCTTTCAAATTCGTTGTCAATGAGCTGTCAATCGCGGGGGAGGGGGTTTGGGGTGCCAAGACGAAGCCGAAGGCATGCCTGCAATATGGGGGCCAGGCTGTGGGATTCCACGACAAAGTGTGTCCGGGCGTTGGCAATGCTGCGTGCCACAAGGTGGCTGCAGCGATCGTTTTTTGGCCGCGTGGCCTGATATTTTGATCTGCAATGGCAGCAACCTATTGCCTCGGCAACTCTGAGGTGGCAGCGCAAGTTTGCTCACAGGGGCCGGGTCAGCCAACATTTGCTGACGCCATCAGCTTGAATGCGATGGTGTGCCATGGGAAATGCAACGATGCTGTCGGGAGCAGAGGCGAAGGATGGGGCTTTCCACCCTCCACGGCTGTGCAATCCGCTGCAGATGTGCTCAGCTCTTGAATCCACACCCCTTGGATGGACATGCTTTGGTACTGCGCACGCTCAGCTGGGGGCAGCAACCTCGATCACCAGTAGCAGCTGACCGCCAGCCGCCATTGCGCCCTGCTCTGCCACTATGGCCTTGATGGTGCCCGCCACGGGTGCAACCACGGGCGACTCCATCTTCATCGCCTCCAGCACCACCACGGTGTCGCCCTTGGCCACGGTGTCGCCCTCCTTCACCTTGATGTCCCATACACTGGCCGTGAAGCCGGCGCACACCTGATTGGGGAGAGGCAGGTGGTAGAGAGGGAGGGGGACCGGGGCAGGGGCGCGTGTGCCCAAATGTGGGCTGGGTGAGGAGCGAGTGCGGCATGTGCTGCACCACTTTTTGGAGGATTGAGTGTATTTGGCCAAGGCGATTGCCCACAATGTCAGCAGGATTCATACCCTCAGCGCACGCTGGAGCCCAGAGTAACGTTGCTTCTGCCTTCCCCCGACCAGACCACGGTCTCACCTTCGTGCAGCCTGGGCCGTCCCAAGCCGGGTCAGTGTCCAACTTTGAGCCGCCCTGAGCTGACCCTTCCTGGGCGGTTCCATTGGCTGCCCTGGCCGCCTCCAGACGTGCAAGGCTCTCCTCCTCCAGCTGCAGCTGCACCTCACTCGCAGCGCGCTGCTGGGCCTTCCACGCGGCCCACTGGGCCACCATCTCAGGCTCTGTAAATGGCAACGACGGAAGAAGACGGGTTGGGCACATTGCAATCACGTTTTGCTACCCAAGCCAAGGCCACGCGCTGTGCTGACAAGCAGCATTTCAATTGTCATGAGCAAGGGGGTGCAACCTGCGGCGGCACATGCCGCACGCATCATCGTCCCTGCACAGCTCACGGCCAAGGCGTTTGTGCCCATCAAACACAGCCCCACCCCGACACGCATTTCACCTGTGATCATAGCGGTGTAATCCGCCATGGAGAACGTCTTTGACTCGATGCTGATGTCATACTGCCCCGCAGCAAAGCGTTCACGCAGGTTTTCCAGCTCGTCCTCACTGACCTGGAAGAACCGCACCTGCGGGGTGTTGAGACGGGCCGGCGGCGAGGGTTGAGAGGGGAGAGCGGCGTTTAGATGGGAATAGGCGTTTGAGTGGGGATGGCAATACGGTGAGCACTTTTTGAAGGCGATGGTTGCTGACAGTCAGGTGATGCAGCCGTCACAGACCGATGCACTGCACAACCGATGAACGCCCTGCCCTGCCATGCTCCTTTACTCTACAACCCCTCCACCTCTTGAACTGCCCTGCTCGCTTGCTGTCTTCTTCTCCTGTTCCCACCTGGTCAAAGAACTCCAGCAGCCACGGCTTCTCAGGTGTGAAGGCCCTGGTGCGGCCAAAGGTGTTCCAGATGGGCAGGGTGCGGCCCACCAGCTGGTAGCCGCCGGGGGAGTCCATCGGGTAGATACACATGTAGCTGCCACCAATACCGACAGTTCCCTGTGATTCATTGTGTGTGGGAGTATGTGTTGCTACAAGACAATTGCGGTGAGAAATGTTTATGAGGCAGCCAGACCCCCACAAATAAAGGCGAGGCAAAATATACGAATGCCAAATGAATCCCGCTTTGAAAACCTGCCCGCTTTGGAGTCCTGCAGCGCACCTCGTGTGTGAATGTGCGAGCGGGGTTGAACTTAGCCGTCACCAACCTTGTGTGGGAGCATGGAGCGGGGCGAGGGGTGAGTCAGCGTGGCCTGAGCGCACGGCATGAGTCCTGTGAGCATCTGTGATGCAATCCCAGGGGAAAAAGCACGGGAAAACTACGGCGGCGTTTCTGAACATTGATGCAACCACCTGACAGCACAGCTGGGCGGTTGGGTGCGCCTCTGCAAGCAGAAGCATCAAAAACACAAATTTGACTGCGGAAACGCTGCACGTTTCTGCCCTTGTGCCTAAACATCAATGTACGAGGATGTTGAAGTAGCGGGAATGACGAACTCCGGCCCCAACCCCTCAGCAAACCCCCCTGTCCTGAGGGCTTACCGGTGCAGGGGGTTGACAGGTACCGCGCATGGTGCTCCCAGGTAGACGTCACCCAGCCCCAGCACCAAATAGGACGCCTCAAACACGATGCGGCGCACCTGCCAGGCATTGACATCAAGGGCCCAAAAAACGAGGATGGGGATGAATGAGAGGCCTTGCTTGAGGCAGGCTACACGAGGTCGTTCTGCTGCGAACCGCCACTGAGATACTTCAAGCTGTCCACAGAAGCCTGCAGTAACTCAGCAGCATGGGCCCCCATCATCCGCCGCCCCTGTGTGCGGCCCTCACGTCCTCCTTGCCCTCGAGGCCATTGTTATTGGCGATGTACTGGATGTTGCTGGGCAGGTAGGGCGCCTCGGGCCTCGCGCTCTTGGCGTAGCGCTCCAGGGCCTCGTGGGTCCACCTGGACGCAGGGGAGGCGGCGGAGTCAGCGCGGGGATGATGCATGCAACCAGGTGGTTCTGAAGCTGGTCGTGCGGAAACGGGCAGGGTGGTGAGTCCAAGTCGCACGATGCGTGACAAAGCCTTGAGTACACTGCCAAAGCTCGATCCTTGCAGGCTGCGATGACTACTTGTCAGGACAGGGGCCCACCTCTCGTCGAACGCCATGGGCAGGTGCACGATGCGGCTGGGCAGCACCATCTCCGCCACGTTGCCGATGGCGCCGTCCGCCCTGGCTATGGCATCTAGCAGGTCTGGCAGCACGAGAGCCCTCTGGTCGTACTCGATCATCACTGACCGCACACCAGCGCTCGTCTCCACGAGGCCGGCCAGCGACAGTGCGGCCAGCTCCTTCTCCAGGGCATGGATGCGCGCCCTGCGGGTACGTTGGAGGCCGGGGTTCTGTCTGAGAGGGTGCCACGGGCGCACCAAGCAGCGGGGCAACGGCCAGCTACCCTGATGTGCTCTGCGTGACAGCAGCCTGTGAATCCGCCTGGGCAGGCGGCTGCAGCAGGCCCACGTTGCGATTGTGACGGTCTCCCCCCCTCGGGCTGTGTGCAGGACGCCCCTCTGCTGGGCCGCACCTGAGGCTGAGGTCCAGCTCCATGGGACCATACTCCAGCTGCACGTACCTGGCAGTGGGGGCGAGGGCAGAGCGTGCAGTCAAAGGTGCCGCATAAGGTAGAGTATCAGCGAAGTGCAAAATGAGCAGCGCCGGGCGGTGGTAAGGGTCCATGCTCACCACAGGCCCCCGCGCTCCGCAAGACCGTGCATGCATACGGCTGGCTCACCTGTCCCCTGCGAGGCGTACGAGGTAGCCTGGGTGGCTGTCAGAGGCCGCCACGTCCACCAGCACAGCCTTGGTCTCGGGCATCTTGGGCACAGTGACCTGCATGACGGGGTAGGACAGGGGGATGGCCACATAAGGTGGTTGGGACTTTGACAGCAGGCCTGCCTTGCCTTGCCTGTACAGCGCTAGTCCAAACGTACGCACCGATGCACCCCTCAAAGATGCCAAAACCTGCGATTTGTGGGGAGATGTGCACCCTCCCTAGATCCCTGCGAGGCGTCCCACCTCAAAGCCGTCAAGGCTGGCGGCGGCGGCCTTGGCGTCCATCTTGCCCCGCGACAGAGCCTTAACTGCCGCCATGAGGGCGTCTGTGCGCAGCGCGGCCACGTACGCCTCCTCGATGGTGATCTGCTTGAAGGTGATGTTGTCATTGGGGCGCACCTGGCCGACCTTCCAGAGCTCACTGCTGGGGATGGTGGCCGCACACACAAAGCCACCCAGGCTGGGGCCATCCACCATCAGGATCACGGGCATGTCACCCGTGAAGTTGACAGTGCCTTTGGTTGGTGAGGCGACAGGAAACGGAAACAAAGAGGGGCTGGTCAACTCGCTGTTTGAGTGCATTCACTTGTGTCAAAAAGCTTAAAACAGCAGTATGACAAACCAGCGCTGTGTTCCATTGTGACGCAGCCCACCGATTGCGTAGGTGTGGTCGTGCACGTTGCTGGGGTGGCTGCCACCTTCGCCACCATCCGTGCGCGTCCACGTTGGGCGAGGCCCGTTCAGGCGCACGCCAAGCCTGGTGGACGTGAGGGAAGAGTGGAGGGGTGGAATCACAGTACAGGTTGGCCAGTCCTGCGCGTGCCACCTCAGCATAGCGAAATTAGAAGTTCAACTTTGGGCTGTAGCGGGCAGCAGAAGCCCTCCACAGGCACACGGCCGTTTGTGGTCTGCGCCTTGTTCACCCCACCTGTTGCTGTTGTAGTGGACCTCGTAGGGGCTGGAGTAGAACACGTCCATGGCGTCGTCCGTGAAGTAGTCAGGGTTGGCGTGGGGGCCGGGCAGCACCCCCACTACAGTGGGCTCGCCGGCCCCTGTCCCCGGCGCAACCTGCACCGCGCCGGCGTACTGGTCCAGCCAGCCCTTGGGCAGGGCGGTGGGGGCGGCGTCTGAGGCCGTCGCGCCAATGGGGAGGGAGTCGCCTGGGTTGAGGTACCTGAGGCGAAGCGAGTGGGTCGGGGGTTGGGTGAGTGAGAGAGGGACACCGGCTTTGGAAATTGCCAGCGCGGCCAGTGCCGCGTTCCACGTTGCTGATGTGCGGCAAGCCACAGCCTCTGCCACACCTGCGTTGCACGGGTCTCGACACCCACCTGCCCTGGTAGCCTCCAAACTTGCCCCCCGGGAACGTGGAACGGCTGCCCAGGTACTTGGGGACGTCCACACCCCCTGCCACAGCCAGGTAGCCGCGCACACCGCTGTCGGGGTGCACCGCCCCAATACGCAGCTCCTGGCCTGCAGTGAGTTGTTGAGAGGCAGACAAAGTCACGGTGGTCCTCTGCTGCCTTTTTAACATCGAATCGACCAGCTGCCCAGCAGCCCCCTGCCCTAGCGATTCATCGCTGCTGTTCCCCCTCCTGCCCCTTGTTCAGCTCCCCTCCTGTCCCCGCTGTGTCTTGCCCCCCACCTGCTGCCACCTTGAAGCTGCTCCACCACGCCACGGGCTCATCGTCCAGCGTGACGTCAAACTCAGCGCCAGCCAGGGCCACCAGACCGTCACAGTGGAACTTGATCGTGGGACCTGCCCCAGAGCAAGCACATGGGGGCCGTGTGAGAAGGGGTGTGTGGATATGATGTTTGGTGCTGGCGACATGAAGCAAGAAGGCAGTGCTGGCTATGTGAAGCAGTAAGTCAGCCATCACATGTCTGGTGGTGGGACGTACCAACTCAGGGCCGCAGGACCGCCCGGCTCCTGCGCTCACCCGTGAGGCCAAACTCGAGGGCGGCCGCGTCTTCCTCGTTGCCGACCAGGGCGTTGGCCAGGCGGTGGCTCAGGGCGTCCATGGGACCAGAGGGCGACACGCCCACGCGCCACAGGCCCACGCGGCCCGGGTAATCCTGGACGCTTGTCTGGAGGCCTGCAGAGGTGCGTCGGTGTGCAGGCGGTGGTAGATAGGACAGGTTGCAGGACAGGACAGCATCAGCGGCCAGGAAGCCCCGAGGAACAAGCGAGGGGAGCCAAAGCCAGCTGGTTGATTCAGCGGGTGCCATGCTCGCAGCATGCTTGCGAGTGCCGGTCCTTCAAGTGGGTGATGCTTGCCTCCTCCACCCTGTGCCCTGAACAACCCTACACCTGGCAGCACGACCTCCATGACGTGCGGCTTGAAGGACACAGCCTCCAGGAAGCTCGTGGTGGTGGAGCCTGACGTGAGCCCGTTGGTGGTGGTTTTTGAAGGGCGGGGAATGAGCTGAGAACCAAGGAATTGCAGGGGGGGGGGGGGTTGAAGGCAAAGCCCGCGCTAGCCGGTCATCGCAACGACGCCGTTTCGGGACGTACCTGCCTCTTAAGACCCAGATGTCCTCTCGGGCCATACCTCTGCCTGCTGGGCCGCACCTGCTATGAAGCGGGGGTCCTTGACGATGTGCCCCAGGAACTCCAGGTTGTTGGGCACACCCTGCAGCCTGGTGGCCGCAATGGCCTCCGCCATCTTGGCTATGGCCGCCTCCCTGTTTAGTTCAGGAAGAGCGTACGTATCGCATGGATGGTGGAATGGTTTGGAGTTTAGGGGTAGTTTCTCGTGAGTGCATCATTCAGCCGTGCCTTGCTCACAGATTTCACCGTGGCAGCCACTAAAAATGCTGCTGCTTGAAGCACCTGGTCCCACGCGCCGCCACCTGGAACCCTGTACCCCTGATCCCACCCCCTCACCTGGTTGGCGCGTACACCATGAGCTTGGCCAGCATCGAGTCGTAGTAGGGGCTCACCTCAGTGCCCGTCTCCACCCAGGTGTCAACACGCACACCGTCCATCTCTGGTGGAGTCAACGCACATTGACCAAAGCACAAGGCACCTTTTGAGCCGATGCGAGCAGGTGCCATTGTGCATGCCTAGCACAAAATCTCAGTGCACGCCCCGCTTTGACAGCACGCGTCAATCGAAGTACACCCCCGGCCCCCAAAATTTCGCCCCCTGCTCACCAAATGGGAAGGCCACCTCTCCCAGGATACCGGGGCAGGGCTGGAAGTCCTTCGCAGGGTTCTCCCCGTTGATACGTACCTGGGAGAGCGCGCCAGGGCAGTTGGGCGGAGCTACGGTCAGGTTGATGTGCTGGCCCCTGAGCAATGGCATCAATCTCACACGCTTCGTGGCTGCACTCCCTGGTTGTGAGCTGCACTAAAAGGCGGGTCGCCAGAGGAATGGTTGGCGGCGCGTAAACTGCGCCCTGATACCGGCTGCGCTCATCCCGCACCTCGATGGAGTGTCCTGAGCGCTCTGTGGTGATGGTGTCGAGGTCCAGCGGCTCCATGCCCGGCAGCTGCAGGCGCAGCATCCACTCAACCAAGTCAACACCGCCGTTCACCAGCTCGGTGATGCCGTGCTCCACCTGGCGAGGGGTGGGGGAGAGGGATGGGGTAGATGGTGGGAAAGTGCGCGGGGACGGGGATGTGCTGGATTATGTATACACATTTAATGCTGGCGTGGCTTGTGAACAGCGTAGCTCCTTGGCGATGTGTTCCAGGTGGCCTGTACATTCAGCGTGCACAAGACAGTGCGCTGGACCTGCGGTGTATGCCCCTGGCCACCTGCAGGCGCGTGTTGACCTCCAGGAAGTAGAACTTGGACTCGTCCTCATCAAATATGAACTCGACAGTGCCGGCGCTGCGGTAGCTGGCGGCGGCCCCCAGGCGGCAGGCTGCGCTGGTGAGGTCGCCGCGCAGTGCGTCTGTGAGCAGAGGGGAGGGCGTCTCCTCCAGAACCTGGGCGGGCGGGGAAGCGGCAAGGTTGGGACTGGACGCGAAGTGGGGGTTCGTGCGAAATTGAGCAGTCATTCTGGTGGCACACACAGATGCAAAGAGCGGGGTGCAGGGGTCAAAGCGGTAGCACTGCAGTCCTGAAAAGCTGACTGCTGAGTGGCCAGTGCATCTGCGATACCCTTGGATGCTGATGCCTGCTGCAGCACCTCCCGAGTGTCTCACCTTCTGGTGGCGGCGCTGGATGGAGCACTCCCTCTCCCCCAGGTGCACCACCTTGCCCTGGCCGTCGCCAAAGATCTGCACCTCAATGTGGTGACACCGCTGGATGTACTTCTCGACAAACACCTGGGCGAGCAGGGGTTAATTGTGCGCACATGTGCGTGAGCGTGCGCGCGCGCGCGCGAGCGTGCGTGCGTGTGTGTGTGTGTGTGGGTGTGTGCGCACGCGCGCGTGCACACGCGTGCGTGCCAGGAATACTGCAAGTAGCAGCAAAAGGAACCCCAGCTGCAAACGCCAGCTGCGGCACAACCTGTGGGCAGCCACACAGCGCATCCAGGCGTAACCCGCCTCTGGGCCCCTGCCGGCTCGCGTACGCGCTCCCACAATTGCTTACCCCACTGTTGCCAAAGAAGGCCTCCCCCTGCTTCTGGCTGATGTGGAACTGGGACCGCACCTCCTCCACGTCGTGGCAGATGTAGATGCCCCTGGGGGAGCGGAAGGAAAGAGAGTGCGGCAGCTTGATGATGCCGCTTTGCGCGGTTGCTGTTCTGCAACAGCAGCGGCTTGGCGTTGTGAGTGCTGGAGCAGGAGAAACAGATTGTCACAGAGCGCAGACACGCAGAACGCCCCATTCGCACCTGCCACCTCCACCACCAGTGGCCTTGAGGAGCACGGGGAACCCTATCTCCTCAGCTGCTGCAACTGCCTCCTCCGGGTCGCTGACCAGCCCGCTGCCCTTGAGCACAGGCACCCCCGCCGCCTCCGCGATCTCGCGCGCCACGTGCTTCAGAGCAAAATCGTGCATCGTCTGGTGGGGTTGAAGGGTTCGTGCACGCAGTGCAAGGGGCGGGATACTGAAGGTTACGAGATCGGTGCAAAAAGCTGGGTTGGTTGGGGTGAGCCGAGCATGGGTTACCCAAAAGAGAGGAGGTCTGAAAACCGCCGGCAGGCTGTCACTGGGCTTACCAAGCGCTGCAAATAGCGCAGTCAAAACCCACTGTCCCCCTGATATAGTGCAAGGCCTGCAGCAGAAGCATCGCGCCTCTCTGCATGTGCGCCTGTGCACCTTGGCCGTGGGCCCGAGCCACTTCACGCCAGCATCCTCCACAGCGGCGCAGAACTCCTCGTTTTCAGACAGAAACCCGTAACTGAGAGGGAGAGTGAGACGGGGTTCAACGTGTGAGAGAGGCGGGGGGAGCCCAGGCAGAGGGATGGACGTTGACCCATCGTGTTGGTCACATAAGTCATCCCACCTCTGTGGCAGACCGCAACCGCACAGCGTAGCTACAGCAACCAGACAAACCTTGATGTCACCCCTTTGCTCACCCGGGGTGCACGGCCGTGGCCCCATACTCCTTGATGACCTGATGATTACGTGGGGGGTTGTGATTACGGGGCGCGCCCGGGGAGGGCAAGACGGCGGACCAGGTGGCATAGTGTGGGTTTCGCGCGTGGTTCTGTGTCAGGCTCACACGTGATCCGAGCATGTCATCGAGCTTCCATGTGATGCAATACGGACAACAGCAGCCTGCCTGAATCACCAACAGACTGCCTGGGGCGGTGTTTTGCGCTAGGGCACGCAGGCGGACTGCATGTGGCCAGGAATATCGCAGCGACAGCTGCCGGTGGGCGCATGGCCCCCAGGCGAGGGTGCGCTGCTGCCCCGGCAGCGTGTGGCCATTACGAGTTCTTTATTTTAAGTGGTCTGAGCCAGCGCGTTGGCTCTGTCTCATATCGATGCGTGCACTGCTGCGAAGTGTTGAGAGGCACTGCAGCACAAACATCGACTCAGAGCAACCCCTTGCACTCCTGCACCTGGAGCAGCTTGGTGGCGTCTGTGTAGCTGCGGGGTTTGTTGCCAAGACACACGGCTTGGGTGGCCTCGCGCACGTGGGGCGCCAGGGCGTCCACCTGGGAAGACCGGGCCGACGCGTTGGGAGTGTGTTGAGGGTGCGGCAGGCGGGTGGGCGGGTGCAGCGCAGTAGTCACCGGTGCGCCTCCAGATTACACGTGCCGTAGTGGCGGCCTCGTAAGCATTACAAGAACCATTTGGCTGCATGACACCTGCGGCCAGCCGCGCTGGGCTGTTGCTTTCCCTCTTTCCCCCTGAGCCTCCTTCCCCCTTTCACTCACAACACAAAGGTAGCACCCACAGACATGCACGCGCGACTCTCTCACCTGAGTGTAGACGGCGATGGTGTCAATGCCATGGTGCTTGCAGGTTCGGATGACACGCCGCGCGATCTCGCCGCGGTTGGCGATCAGCACTTTGGGCGCAGGGTGCTGGAATGAGTCCGTGTGCGACAGCCCTGGACCATCTGTTTTCCAGGTTTGGATACAGCAGGGAGAAAACAGTCAATACTTAGTCGATATTCAGTTTGTGCAATGAGCTGGGCTCTAAGTGTGTCAGGCGAGGGATCCTGCGGCGCAGCTGACAAACGCGCACATGCAGCACCCCTACAGTCGTCGCGCACATGCTGTGCGGCATGCGAGGCGCACGGGTGTCCACCCCAATGCTCCCGTTACAGGCGTGGCGATATCCCAACTTTCGCGCCTGCAACCACACAACGCGCTCCTGCCGAACACGTGGGCCACCCGAAACCCTCACAGTTCGCCGTGGCCGCGCTGCCCTCATTAAACGTGGATAATTTCCGCAACCCAATCACCTGCGCTCAACGTCATTTTGGCGGCGTCCTTGGTCCCTCCAGCAGCGCTCAATAACTTCAGGGCAATGGATCTCTATGATGGCGTCTGGGACCTGCGATCGTGCGGTGCACACCGAAGGTGCTGTAGCGGTGATGAAGAATATATCTCGTGCTGTACTACACTGCGGTGTATGTCAGGCAGGCTGCGCGCAATGGCACCCCTGTGCAGCACCTGGTGACGCACGCCGTCAATCGTCAAATTGTACTCGTGCTTCCCGTGGCGGGGGCGGAGACCACCGCAGGCTGGGTAGTCGAGATTCTCGTATGTGTTTTTGTACATGCCTCGTCTGGATCTAGGCGTTCAGGAGGCCGCATGGTGAGTTCATCGTGCAGCATGCACCCCAGTGGGGTGTGTGAGCTCTGTCATGTCGCTGTGCAAAGCGGTCCACACCATCAGTCTAGTGTTCAGCTGTAGCTTGTGTAATTAATCCATAAGTAAACGGCAGCGCCTGCAGCCCTTGCCCCACTCGGCTTTCAACCCCAACCTGCCTCGCTAGGAGAGGGGGGGTGCTTTGTGAGTGTTTTCGGGACGACTTGCAAGCAGGTTGCATGAACCACCAGATGCATGCACACTATCTTCTACTGCTGCACCTAAAACCTGTACACAACCACCAGAGCTGATATTCGGTCTCTTGTTGGCCTCCATACCCGGCTGCATGTCCCCGTAATGCAAGCAATTGCTCACATGATGAACCTGTTGGCTTGTGTGCATGAGAAAACATTTGAACCGATTCTGGCAGCTGAAGCGCAGCAGTAATGGGAAGCCGTCCCAAAGCCGTGTTCCCAGTCGCTGCTTGCCGGGGTGCGCCACTGGTCGAGGCTGCCATGTGAAAGCACCATAAAGCTGCCTGGCCGTTGCTGCGCCACAGTGCACCTGGACCACAGCGTGGCGCCTGCGTTTTTGTGGCTTCCTCCATCTTTCAACTTGTCAGGCGTTACCGGCCGTGGTGTGCTGGGTCCCGATCAGCTGGAAATTGTAGACTGCAAAAAAGCGCGCCAGCCTCCGAAGCTGCTAATATCTGGTGCCCCCACAACTCCGTAGCTCTCCCCGACAAAGCCCTTGACCAAGGAGCCGTCCTCTAGCAGCACATCACCAATGGCGAGGGGCGCCTTGACTCCGTCGCGAAGAAAGCTTCTATGAGGGGCAATTCGGCAGAGTTGGCGGGGTTGGTGGGCTGCTAGGTTGTAAGGAAGGGTGGGGGAAGGTGGGACTTGCAGCTTGAATCCACCCTGAGGGTGCTAAGCAGCACCCGCTCTACAGCAACGGGTGCATTGCCATCTCAAAATGCCTAATGCAATGCCATTTTCACTACCTCTCACCGCATGGCCAGTCCCCAAACATGCGTGGCTCACTCACCCTATATTCTCAACAGGCAGCTCCCACACCTCCACCTCAAATGCCAGCCCGTCGGTCGCGGGCTCGGGCTCGCGAATAAGGGCGGGTCGCTGGCCCAGGGAGTACATACCTTCCAGGCAAGGCGGTACAGGTCAGCACAGGGCAGAGAGAGGGTGACAGGAGGGCGAAAGTACATACGGTACCTTGAGCTTATGCCGAGCTCCCTCGAGCGGCCGAAAGAGCAGCCTTCGCTTGCTGGGGCGTCCGCGACCGGGGCCTAGTTGACCCGGCGGCGTAACACGAGGCCGCCATCAACGCCCAACTTACGGTAGACCGGTGCTGTTTTGACGGCCTTCCACAGCTGGCCCCCGAGGTCAGTCAGTTGATGGTTGAGCCGCAGCCCACTCATGTGCGCGCCAGCCACCACCAGTCTGAACACCGCGTTGCTCATGATGGTGGCGTGGTTGGGACTGGCCTGCCGCCGAACTTGTTTGAATGGGCGTGGCGGAATCTGAGCCACACTTTGTTGGGTACACAGGAGCGGCAAAAAGGAGGGCAGCCGCACGGTTGGCGGTGCTGCAGCGGCTGGGTCGCCCTTGCCCACCGACAACTACATCATCGCCCATGCATCATACTGAGTTCAGCACGGTCAGGGAGTGTATTAAAATCACCTGAACTTATCAACACCGAGCGCTGCCCTCCTCTTCGACCAGCTTCGTTCGTCTCAAAATCAACGTGTCGACCCCGGGGTTCACAGTTCAAACTTATGCGTTGATTTCTCCGCTACAGTTCAGCTTTCACAATTGCAAGACTTTGAAACGCATCATCACGGATCACTTCACATCAATTTGGGTCACCCGCTGCTAGGGCTCTTCGTCCGCCTGAACGCTGAAAGGGCCCCAGGCGCATTTAGACTGCAGCCACTCACCATCAGGTGAGCTGTGAGCTCGAGCGGTGTTTCCCCGCTGGAAGGGCATTATGAACTTTGGCGGGGACCTTTACTGCATGCTGCACGCAGCGTCACATGGAGCGCGGCTCAGGCTTGGGCAACACATGGCGCACGGTGAGACAGGATCGCCTTGAAGTGCAGCACGGCAGTCAATGTGGTTATCAGTGGGGCATAATTGGACCCATCCTTTTGCCACCGGCCCCCAAACCCAGCAGAGCAGGCAACATGGCTCCAGACCTGTCGCTTGCGGCGCTGCGGCGCCGCCTGACGCCAGGCCCCGGCGAGGTGCCGTCTTTGACGCCCACCCAGCTGCTGAGGGAGCTGCACCCGCGCCTGGCAGGCGCGTGTGGCGTCTTCATCCACCTGGAGCCCCTCGAGGCGCTGCTGGAACGCTGCGCTGCCCTCGAGGCGCAGCCGCGCGCCGAGCGCGGGCCAATGTGGGGCGTGCCTTTTGCTGTGAAGGACAACGTAGACGTCGCAGGGCTTCCCACCACCGCCGCCTGCCCAGCTTTCAGCTACACCCCAAAGGCCAGTGCGCCCGCAGTGGACGCCCTGCTCGCAGCGGGTGGGCTTGAGTCGCACGAGTTGATGAGGGCT